CACAAAACATTCCTGGATAATTTGAACGTTTGAGGGGGAGTAGAATGATTGAAATCTATTGTCCTGTGTGAGCGAGGTCAATTAAACGACGAACCCTTCATCTGAGATTGTCAATCGTTAACGTCGTGGGATTTTACATTGAAGAGGTTAACGGACATCAACGTCATTAACAGCTGGCGATGACATTTTAATTTATATTTTAATTCATTAACTGATTGAAATTTTACGGATTTAACAAAGCTGACAGTTGTGCTTGATTTATGAACGTTGCGTATATTCCGGGAACTACAAATTATAATAACTCTTTAATGTTCAAGAGATGAGAAACGGATTATGTCGGTTTTCATATGCTATACCAGACGTGAGTTTCGGTGATTTTGATAAGGTTGCTAATATTCGCTAAGAAGCTGCGCCTCTATCAGCTGAGTTAACAAGATTTAGCATGTCAAAATATTATGAAAACTAAAATATAAGCGATGATGGAGCAGATTCGTAGCTTGGAGGGTCTCTGAAGGGTCATTTAAGACTTAGATTATTGCTTATTATTAACTCCATATTATTCATAAAATTAAAATATTTATTATTTCTCATAGTATTTGTGTAGATCAAAATTATTTGCTTTGTTATTAACATTTGAAAATTTCAGTGGCATCTACCTATCGTTATTGTTCTTGAACAATTTTCTATTGCTAATCGGTCTCCGGGGTCGTCACATTTATTTTCATCACATCTTCATCTATTTCTTTTTTTATCTTTATTTGTTCTAAAAAAAAAAAAAAAAAATTACATTTCGTTTTAACCTACGTGATGCAGCTATTACATTAACTTAGTTGTTAGTATATAGGGGAAATGGATGTAATGTCGGCCTAAATGCTCCTAGCTTGGGCCCATACATAAATTCAGCAATCGACTAAATTTTCAATAGCGACCAAAACTATCCATTAGTACCGTCCCAATGACGATCTAGATAAATTTGATAAATAGCAGATTTTTAGCGATGGGCCGAATCTTAGATCCATAGGCCAACATTAGAGTCATTCAATTTAGTATTTTAAACAGGTCTTCTGAACCTTCATGTCAGTATAACAATCGCAATCTTAAACTATAAACTAAAATGAAATCTTATCTAAATACAAAGGGAATTAATGGTTGCAATTGAGGATTGCAACCAGGTTTTGCCTGAAATTATTAATTATTTTATTGGACATTTGTTATAAAGTATCAATATTCGAAATTTTTTGTACTTCTGTAGTAATGTACTAGGGAGGGAACTTTAAAATCATCTTCAGAAATTTGTTCTGAATCCTACTAGTACTGTTTCCAGGTAGTGCAACTCCTAGACCATATTGGCACAGCATAAAGCATGGGCAGTCTAAAAACTTGTTTAAATGTTAGAAATCTATTCTAGAGGATACAAACATTTTATATATTTGTTACGTTTGGCTTGAATGCCCTCACTGTGATATTTAAAAGTTAATTTTTGATTGATTACTAATCCAAGATATTTCACTTAACTTGACCAAGACATTTGAACTACGTTCATAGTGACTATGTGACTACTACTAGATTTCAGTGTGTGGGGATATTATAAGTTGCGTTTCGGAAGTGTTAGGAGAAATCTTCTATTTTTGTAAATACCGTGCACCAATAAGCAATGTCAAAATTAAAAAAATCTCAAACATTTCGTTTTCGAGTTTTTTTTTTTATTTATTCAAAGGGGAATGTTTCTCAGAGTCTTAAACTATGTTAATCATCGATCGATTTTCTACTTGCTGCAATTACGGCCTCCACATGCTCCACCAATCCAAATACCATAACGCTAGCAGGATGCTTGGTCAGATACACTTGTGCTCTTCGGCCGCGTATTTTACCGGAAGAGAACTAATATACCGGTTGGTTCTGGAATTTGATACGGGATCGACGGTAAACATGCTCTCGTCGGTGAACAGGATTACCGGATTTTTTCGCTTAAGGAAGTTCAAGATTTTCTTGCATCGGTCGAATCGTAGCTCCCGGATGCGGTTGGTAATCATGTGTGTGTTTTTTTTTTCGTGCCCTCGACTTCGCCCCGAAATCTTCCGTGCCGTAAAGTCACTGATCCCGTGTTCCTTTGCCATTTTCCTTATTGAACGCACTGGATTCACCAACATCTTCCTTTTGATAGCAGCGATAAACCTCGGAACCCGAGCTGACCTCGGAAGACCTGTGGCCACCTTCGCGGATAGGTGTCCTTTCTTTTCTCTTTCTAAAACCATTTGCGCGTGGGACAAATCACGAATACGCTGCCACTTCGTCATGGTGCAACTGTCAAATTAAGTAAATCATATTCTTTTATACACAGCCTACTACGGTATGAGCTATAGGTTTCCCTGGGCATAGAGTATCATTGTGCTTGCCACACAACATACAAATGGTATTGGCATCGAAAGCCCTCGATTAATAAATGTGGAAGTGCATTTAGAACACTTAGTTAAAAGCCCACAATAAGCGAATATGCGATAAGCAATAAGCTTGAAACACGAAAAATAAGAAGAAGATTGTTAAAAATCTAACATTACTGCTTGATTCCAAATTCGTTCTACGAGTTTCAATTCCATTCTAACGCATTGAAATACAATTAGATTTTCTTCGTCCTACGGATGAAGGTAGAGTAAGTGGATTCGCTAGGAGCACTTCTTTTGTTTTGAGAACAATGAGAGTAAATATTCATACAATGCGCCCTAATAAACTTATGAACTAACGCATCAGAACAAACGTATTATTAATCTGTGCAAGGTGAAATTATTGATATTGTTGTTGTTTTCTGCTCGATAGAACGGAAATGGACAATTACAAAGAAGTAGCGATGAAGATACCAAGTCGATACAACTTAAAAGTGCACTTTTATTAGCAATTCCACGATTTTTAAGAATCCAGTTTCAAATGCAAAATACAACATTTTGATACTTTCTAATCTTGTAATTTGAGCTTTTTCAAATAAGTTTTATTTAATTTAAATTGAATATGCACAATTGTAACGCGTAACACAATTTCATTTGGACTGGGTTTATTTTGATACATATATTTTATCAAATTTAATTCAGTTTAATTAAGTATCAATTTATTAAAATGTGTACAGGTAAGTTTTTATATGAACAAAATTGAAAAAAGTCCTACTTGTTTAAGCGAGAAAACATTAAGATTTATTTTTAAAGGAGACATTTTTTGTAAAGATTTATTTCGTTCGATGATTAAAAATTTATGAGTTTGAGCAACATTAATTTTATAAAAATCGGAAAAATATTTTAACTTGATAATCAACTTTTAAATACATCCGGATATAGGGAGTATGTATCCGGATTTCAATGCAGTACGGTATCATTTTAGTTAATCATCAAACACTTAATATAATCCTCACTCTGAATCAAATCGTCTCTGGTCTTGAATCCATCCCACAGCTCTATGATTACCTTCACGGAAGTCACAACATTTATTACTGGTTTTCACATATGGGTAGTAGTAAACTAAAAACTCACAAGCAAACAAAACATCAAAGGCAAATAGTAACCTACCGAACTTCAATCAAATTGTCTGCTCAGAAAAGGTCATCCTTCAATCCAAAAAATCCTTCACATATCACCGTTTTTGTTTGCAACCCCGTAATTCGTTTATGGATCCAATAATTAATCAATCAACAGTCCAAATGCATAATCGTTGTCATCAAACACTGGAATAGGCCAATAGAACGCTGTCGAATGGTGAATTGCGCGCACAAGCGCGGAAAGTAGAACGTGGTTGACCATGTCAATACTCTAAACCGGAAAACCTTGTAGAATTAGCTATACCCACATGAGACACTATACGCGATCAATATAACTATGAGTAAACGTGATATCACTATACTCCTGAAAGTTGCGACGTTGTTGACCGCCGTCGCTGCAAATTGATTCATTCCTCTGCTGGTACTGCCCGTCGTCCACGGCAACCGTGTGTTAGTAAGGCAGTATGTCATACAATTTACCCTCACTTGTTTGTGTTCGGCTCGATTGTGCTGAGCTGGATATTCTACAAGGTACGGAGCGGTCAAGCGGTATAGGGTTGAGATGTCAATATCCCAGGAACAAGAGTCGGCAGCACTACTCAACACAAGCGCAGAAATAAAAACGGAATGCGGGTGAGTGGGGCCTTTCCAGTTCCCTGATTGGCGAGTTATTGAACTTGTACGAGGCTAGAATGTCACTCACTCGTTCGCCTACCCAACTAGTAGTCGTGGCGAGATGGTGTTACTGACCGAGTGGCCTCGTCGTATCTCAAGTTTTAGTAAACCGCATATATTTCTGTGGTTCTTCATAAGAAGTATAATGGAGCTTGATTGATGCGTGTGCGTCTGGTAATGAAAAGCAAATCTAAATAAAACATTGAGTTCCTGAGCAAGAACTTTTTCAACTTGAAATTACAAAAAAATTATGTGCTTTTTGTGATGCCTTGTAAAGTAATCTGGAAGGTAGTATCGAGAAATCAGTACGTAAATCATAGGCACTTTTGGCCCTTCCAATAATTTTCAGAAGGAACATAGTATAATTTCCAATAATTTTCATAACATTTCCAATTTTTTATCATGAATAATTAAAAAGGTAAGTAGTTGACATTTGAACCATCGATCTATGTTCCGAAACGCAATATTAGCGGGAAAAATATTTACTCCGTTTCTATTAATTTCACGGGGTTTGAAGAAGTTGTTTAGAACTAAACGGGTAAATTAGGGTGATCCTCATTCTAACTTAAATCAGGAAACCAACTGTTTTGATTCGCATATTTAAATAAAAAGTGGCCTTTAAAAACAGTTGTAGGGATAAATATGAAGCACATTTTTGCTCAACCATGTTTTTGGAATAGCTGAACATTCAAAAGTCATGAGTAATTTTAACACAAATAACATTCAGTCATCAAATGATAATATCGCAAGTACTTGGATCGATAATTTTATTCTTGATAGAGTATCTGTTCGCACCCCTCCGGTGCGAATGAAAAACGATTTTCAAAAGTAGGTCTTTTGACGGACAAACTCAACTAAAATATATTCAAAATTAACAAACTATTTACATTAAACAAACTTACAATCGACACTTACAATTTAGTTTTTCAACGCCTGCAACTCCTCAATACCAATCTACCTTCGGTGGGCTTAGCGAGGTCCTATCAATTAATTAAATAAAAGACACTGAACAACATGTCACCTTTACATAATATTTAACTTACGGTAATTGAACAGTAATACACTAAATGCAAACATATCTGCTTCCCGCGGTACAACAGTGGCGAACAATCTATGATTTCACAATATTTAAAAAGCTACAAATAAACTAATAAACTACAAATTACACAACTTACTAGGTACAATAATCGGCACAAAACATAATTCACAACAACAAAAACACATCTATCGCGATGGAGTCTATACTCTCCTGCTGGGGTAAAACAGCTGCTGGGGTAAACAAAACAAAGTAGTGCGAAAGCGATGGCCGTGTTCAGCTTATCCCACTCACTATCGCACCTCTGTGTGCATACATTCATATATGCGCCTCACTGCTACAGCGACGGCAAGAAACGTCAAAAACGGGCGCATCAAAGGGGCGCGTTCACGGTAGTTATGCTACCGCAACCCTTTCAGGCCTGACTGCAACGGCAACATTCCCCCGCCCGTAAACCCTGTGGCTGGTTCCATCAGGAACAGTACGGGGATTACTCCTTCGAAGTGACCTCCAGAACGGCTAGCTTCGCTACCGGTCTGACCTTCTCGCCTCTGCTTGTCTGAACGGACGCTGAACGGACTCTTCCGTCACTCCCAACGAACACCTTCTTCACCACGCCTCGCTCCCAGACGTTTCGCTTCTCTCCATCTGCCACGAACACCAAATCTCCAACCGCTACTTGTCGCTGATCCACGAACCACTTAGACCTCTTGTTTAACATCGGCAGGTATTCCCTCTGCCAACGATCCCAGAATCCATCCGCCAAGAACTGTGCGCGATGGTAGCTACTACGCAACGTGTTGGCCAGGTCAATGGGATTCCTCGACGGCAGACACTCGACCGATGAACGACCACGCAAAAAGTGGTTCGGCGTCAACGCTTCCTTGTCTTCCTTCACGTTGGTGGACACGTAGGTGAGTGGACGAGAGTTGATCAGGTTCTCCGCCTCGATCAGTGTCGTCTGCAGGATCTCGTCCGTCAGCTTCCGACCATCTGTGAACGTTTTTAGTGCCTCTTTCACCGAGCGCACCATTCTCTCCCACGCACCTCCCATGTGTGGGGCAGCCGGTGGGTTAAAGGTCCAACGAGTCCTCGCACCGGTAAAGGTATCCGCACATGCTAGATTTATTTCCTTCAGCAGATCTCGACTGGCACCGACAAAGTTCGTGCCGTTATCCGAAAGGATCTCGATCGGACTGCCACGCCGCTTTACAAACCTCCTGATCGCCATTTTGCACGACTCAGTCGTCAAGTTGTACGCCACCTCCAAATGTACCGCTCGCACAGTTAGGCACGTGAAAAGTGCCACCCATCGCTTTTCCTTCCTTCGGCCAATAGACACTTCCAGTGGACCAAAATAGTCTATGCCGACGTACGAAAACGGATCGACCCTCGCCGCCAAACGCTGCCCTGGTAAGGGTGCCATTCTCGGAACAATTGGCTTCGCCTTTTGAATCTTGCACCACACACAGGCTCGCATCACTTGATCTACTAGCGCTCGGAGACACGGAATGTAGAATCGCTGCCGAACTTCGTTTACAACGGTTTCTCTGCTGCTGTGCCCATACTGCCGATGGTAGTGTTCTAATAACCTTCGAGTCACCACGTGGTCCTTCGGCAGAATGATCGGAAACCTCGCATCAAATGCCGCATATTCCGCCGCTTCTGTACGACCTTCCATCCGCACGACACCATCCTCATCCAGGAACGGCGCAAGACGATACAGCTTACTCGACCTCTCTAGTGACATTCATGTACTGTCGAATCCTTGTTCTTCACCAGGGTCCTCACTTCGTCGGCAAACTCGTCTGCCTGAATTACCTTCCACAAAACTGTTTCTGCAGCTTGGTACTCCTCCTGTCGCAACGGCACATCCACGGCGGGGAACGTTGATCCTTGCTTGACACCTTTCCTAACGGCTTCGATCGGCAGCTTCTTGACGCGTCGCCGGCAGTTGGACGCGAATCGGAACACTGTTGCTAGGGTCCGCACCATTACTGTCCAACGCGAAATATGCTGCAACCTCTCCGTAAACCCCTCGGGTAACACGATGTGATGCAGCAGCACGCTCGCCCGGAGCTCTTCGGCAACTTCCACCTTTGGACGCTTTTGCTTCGGCCATTCTTCCACTCCGTGATACAGAAAATCCGGTCCATGGAACCATCGGCTTCCCGACTTGATCTCCGTTCCTTTGTCCCACTTCGTCAAATCGTCCGCTGGATTGTCCTTCGTTCCTACCCAACGCCAATCTTCTGGATTCGTGATGCTGAGGATCTCGCCAATACGATAGGCAACGAACGGCTTATACCTTCGTTGGTCCGATTTCACCCATGATACTACCGTATCCGAGTCACACCACAGGAACCGCTTCGCTACCGGAAAGGAATGGGCATCGCAGATCGACTTTGTTAATCGCGCACCGAGAACAGCCGCTTCTAGCTCCAACCGTGGTGTAGACAGGTACTGTAATGGCGCCACCTTTGCTTTGGCCTCGATGAATGCGCAGTGAACGACTTCGCCGTCCTCGAACCTGAAGTAGGCCACGCATCCATATGCCGCATCTCCAGCGTCAGTGAAAACGTGTAACTGCACCGTTTCATAGACCTTCGAGTCCAATCCACCGAGGTAACACCGTGGAACACGAATCTCATCGATTAGATGGAATAGCTGTGTCCACTGCACCCACCGCTTGTAGTGAGCTTCCGTGAGCTTCTCGTCCCAACCTATGCCGCTACGCCATAAATCCTGCATTATGATCCGTCCGTGTATCAACAGCGGAGCCAGAAACTGCTTCGGATCGAACATGCTGGCAATGCACCGCAACACAATCCTCTTTGTTGGCCAAGTACCTTCCCGAATGTAGGGCTGAAGGTCTTGGCGAATCTCCGTTGAGAAAACGAAGTGATCACCTTCCGGGTCCCACAGCACTCCCAGGACTCTCTCCGTAGCGCAATGCTTGTCTACTTCTAGTGGTTTCACCACAGACTTCTCCTCTCCGAGCTGACGTAACACTTCCTGTGAGTTGGAAACCCAGTTCCGAATCTCGAACCCACCGTTGGCGTGTACACGTCGCACATCCATCGCTAGTCTCACCGCTTCCTCTACTGTATCGGCACTGTCGAAATAGTCGTCGACATAGTGCTTTCGAACGATAGCTTCGGCAGCCTCCGGATACTGCTCGGCATGTTCCCGCGCGTTCAAGTTTTTCACGTACTGTGCGGAGCAAGGCGAACAGGTCGAGCCAAAGATAACCACATCCATCACGTACGTTTCCACCACTCCGTTCGGACCCACGAATATGAACCGTTGTGCCTGACGGTCTTCTGCACGAACCCATGCTTGATGAAACATTTCCCTAATGTCACCTCCAAACGCCACGTTTCTCTCGCGGAATCCACTTATAACAGCTGGTAGCAACGTTATCATGTCTGGACCCTTCAACAGCTTATCGTTAAGCGACACTCCATGAGCCCTCGCTGCCGCATCCCAGACCAACCGCACCTTGCCAGGTTTCTTCGGATGTACCACGTAGTTCAGCGGTAGGTACCAAGCTTTACTCTTCGGCGTCTCCTTTAACTCCTGCTCGGTGATACGATGCGCGTAGCCTTTGGCAAGATATTCTTCCAACTGCTTCTGCAAACATTCCTGCACTCCAGGATTCCGGTTCATCCGAGCCTCCAAACATCGCAACCGCTTCATGGCCATGTCTAAACTCTCCGGAAATCGAACATCATCTTCTTTCCAGAGTAATCCTGTCTCGAACCTGCTACCCACTCTTCGAGTGGTCTTCTCCAAAATCTCGCGTGCTCTACGATCTTCCTTCGATTCTAAACGAATAGGTGACACTCCGACGTCTTCAAGTTGATAATGTTTCTTCATCGCCTCGTCCAGATCCTTATCCGATTTGCTGCACTCCTCACACGAGCACCGATGGTGTCCCAGAAAATGCACCTTTCCTACGACGTTTGGTTGTGGACCATAAGCCGTCCAGCCGAGCTTGCACAAAATGGCAACTGGTTTACCAGATTCTCCGATTCGTGAGTCCAGCGGGGCGATCAAGTGAAGATTATCGATCCCCAGCAGCACCTTCGGTGTAGTTCTCTCGTAACTGGGAATGTCGATGTCTTCAAGGTGCTTAAACTCCTGGACCAACTTCGCTGAATCCAGCTTCTGTGCAGGGAGGTTTAACCTGTGCACCGTATGAGCTTCCAGCAGATCGTATCTACTCGACGAGTCTCTGGCAGATATCTCAAGCACCACTTTCTTCGACTGATACTCCGTGCGCTGTACGCCGTTTGTCCAAGTCATCTGCAGTGGTTCCACTGGTCCATCGGCACCCAACGTTCTCACCAATTCACTGTCCACCATGGTAACCGAAGATCCTTCATCGATGAGTGCTAGAGTATCTACTCTTTTCTTGCCGTTGTATAGCGTCACTGGAACCATTCTAAACAGAACTGCACATTTCGACTGACGATGACTATTACACTGCATCTGAGTTCGCGAGTATCCGGCTGGTCCACCATGAAGAAGGGCATTGTGGTTTTCCGGACAGCCATCTACCTTGCAACGAACTCTTATACGACATGATCGTTGTCCATGGTCATAAAGGCAGAGTGGACAGAGGTTCAACCGAGTCACCGTTTTCCACCGCTCTGCAACACTCTGTTTGAGCAATTCCTGGCAGTTCCTTCCGTAATGCCCAGACTTTTGGCACACGGAACACTTCAACTCTCGGCGCTGGGGTTGGGGTGACGAATTCTTCCCAGCTGACATCACACTCCCAGACCGGCCGCTATCTCCATCCGTGACGTGAACGAAAGCCTTCGTTTGTGGTCTATTTCGCATCTTACCCTTCTCCTTTGCATCTGCCTTCTCGAAGGTTGCTTCCAACGCCTTCTCTACGAGACCTTCCATGAATGCACCGAATGTTTCCAAGTCGACTGACTGTGCGCGTCGCTTGTAGTCCACCCACTCCATGGCATAGTACGACGGCAGCTTCTGAACTAGACTCTGCATCAAAATTGGGTTCTTCAAGTGGTCCACCAGCCCGGCCGCTTTGAGATGCTGAGTAAACTCTTCGACGGCACTTCCGAACTCGATCACCGACTCCAAACTCTCCGAGCTTGGTCCCTCTAGCTGCTGGATCTTTGTCGCCAATCTGGTTGACAGGATCTCCGGATTCCCGAATCTCTTCCTCAGCTTCTTGATGATCAACGGCACGTTCTCCGGCAAAAGTAGACGATTTCGAACCGTATCCAATGCTTTCCCCTTCAGAGCATCCTGTAGACGGACCAAATTCTCTGCGTTGGTGAATCCACAGGACTGGTTTGCCTGCTCGTAGGCGCTGATAAAGATAGGCCACTCTTCTGCTGCTCCATAAAACTTCGGCAGGCTCCTCGGAAATACCTGTCGAGACGCTATCTGGAGCCGTGTCGGTCCATCCGCAACCACTTTATCGCCTTTGTAGTCCCCACCGTCGAGGATTGACTCTAGTGCTTCATCATCTTTCTCGAAAGACGGACGAGGCAGTCTCGGATTTGCAGAAAGCAATGATCTTATTCTTGTGGACTTTCCTGGTACTGGCTTCTGGGGGTTACTTCCATTTCGATCTTCCAGAAGTTCCTTGAAACGATCGAACAGGTCCTGGATATCATTTTCGGTGGACCTTTTCTTTGGATCTTTGCGAACCGCACCTAGACTCTTCGGGAGCTGCTTCTCCGGCTGCGGTTCCCCGCTTTTGTCCATCGATTCAACTTCGGCCTCTGAATCTGATTCGCCATCAGAACCGTTGATAATCTGTGTCAGCTCCATCCGTCGCTCAAGCGCCTTCTTCCGTCTAGCAATCCGCTTCCGTTGAAGTTCGAGGATTTTTTGCTGATTTTCATCCTCAAGTTCGTCCAACCGGTTTCTTTCTTCCAAGTCTCGAAGTTCTCTCAACGCACGAACTCGTGTTGACTCCGCTGACGGTACACTGGCACTTTTCCGGAGCACACTTTTCCCAATTCGGCTACTCTTCGGTACTGAATCGGTGGGATTAACGCGCGCGGGTAGACTTGAATGACGATTTAACGATTTTAAAAGATCGTTTAAGAATCTAGTGTGGTCTTCTGACTTTTCTGTTTGCACATCTAGTTCTTCATCGTCTGAACTTTCCTGCTCCTGTTCTGATGTTTTATTTGTGTTGCCATCATCTTCATCCTGCGCTACTGCCCTACTAATGCGACCTTTAGTCGAAGATATGTTCTTACTCGCTACCTTACCGACCTTTTTCCCGCTACTTTCCGTCTGACTTCCTGGATGATTGATCACCATCGGATGAATCCGAGTTTGACCTGGTACACCCAACGACTGTCTGATCGATCTATCCTCACCGACACAAGTCGAGCAGAACCAGACCACCTCCGCAACAGATTCGTCGACACCAACGCACTCGAAGTGGTACCATTCTTGGCACTTTTCGCACTGTACACTAGCATCTTAGTCCTCATCGCAGTCACAGCACGGGTATCTGTAGGTCTCCATTGATAAATTTTGAGGATGTTCGCACCCCTCCGGTGCGAATGAAAAACGATTTTCAAAAGTAGGTCTTTTGACGGACAAACTCAACTAAAATATATTCAAAATTAACAAACTATTTACATTAAACAAACTTACAATCGACACTTACAATTTAGTTTTTCAACGCCTGCAACTCCTCAATACCAATCTACCTTCGGTGGGCTTA